CTTTTCCGCATGTACTGTCAGACTAGAGAGAGAGAGAGAGAGAGAGAGAGAGAGAGAGAGAGAGAGAGAGAGAGAGAGAGAGCTGAGGGCGGTGTGACCGGTGAACATAACTTGACCTGTTGTTAATCGAATCGGTGAAATTTAATATGTGGATGGCATTTGTGGCCGGTTTATTTTAAGTTTAGCGATTCTGTTTTCTACTCTTCTTCGGTGACGATGATAATGTTCTTCGAATCGTTGAAGATTCGTTGCTGTTTACTATTTTGTTTGTGACTGTGTATGACGTTGCTGTTTGTGAGTATTGCTGTTTACTATTCTGCGTTCCACAAACACTTAGAAAGACTGAAAGCTAAAACAGTGATACAGAAAGCACCAGCCATACACTAACAAGGAAAACATAGAGTCAGAGACAAAGAGCGAAGTGAGATTCTTCATTGGGGTTGCTTCCTGACTTTTATCACGGGCGGAGCTGCGCTGGCTGCACCTGCTTGTTATTTAATAATGTTTAACTGGAGGGGTAACCTCTGACGACGTGCACTCCAATACAGGGCCTCGCTCCACTACTCACCAAACGAGCAAATTGAGAGTGAATCTTCCGCTAGAACATGGAAAGATGCATATTTTTCGTCTTTTGTGCATGTGGAGAGTAGTGGAGCGAGGCCCTGAAGAAGATAAATAAACCAACAAGAAGGCCATCTGAGTCGTTTTTATGGATGGCTAATCTCCTGTTTTTTGTTTTATTTTGTTTTCTTTTTGAATCATTTTCATGCCAGTCTGCATTTGGGAAATATTGTAACTTCTTTTGTTCCTTTTTGGGCTCTTGTTGTGGGCATGTTTCCCCCCCTCCTCCCCCCCCCCTTCCCTTTTCTCCTCTTCTTTCCCTGTTCTTTTTCATTCTGCAGCGGATTTACGAGTTGAAAATGTTGTGATCATCGGATCCGGCCCGGCGGGTTATACTGCTGCCATCTATGCCGCGAGAGCAAATTTAAAGCCGCTTGTGTTTGAAGGATACCAGGCAGGGGGTGTCCCTGGAGGACAACTGATGACGACAACTGAAGTCGAAAATTTTCCAGGATTCCCAGAGGGCATTTCTGGTCCTGATCTGATGGACCGAATGCGGCGGCAGGCGCAACGGTGGGGTGCCGAATTATTCACGGAGGATGTGGAATTTGTTGATGTCAGGGATCGGCCATTTGTGATCGGGAATAGCGAAAGAGTGGTAAGCCTTCTTTCTGTTGTTGTGCATTCTCCAAAAAGAAAGAAAGAAGCAATTACTGTTTACGGTTGTTAATCCGCTTGCAGGGATTCCCTGAAAAGTGCAATCAGACTCACTTTCATTCACACCTCAATTGCATGCAAACAGGTTGCGCAGCAAACTGGCGTCAAGCGCCCACTCAGAAATAAGAGATATGGTAACCCAGACGCAGCTTAGATACATGTTCACTTCAACTGGCTATGGCGGCACATCGTCGGTACAAGTCTCTGTTCGTCACTTGCTCGACACTGCTGTTCGCACACAGGATCACCCTGGATATCCCACACACATCACACTCTGTACACTCACACACACCCGCACACACCTACAGCTATGGCGGCTTTGGCCGCTGCGACTCTATTGCTATGGCTAACTTCCTTCTCGCCCACTTCGTCCTCGGGCTCACTGCAGACCACCTCGCACAAGTCGCTATGGCAGCGCTTCCGCATGGCTTACGCAGGAATGAATGAATGGCTGGTCGCTGCCTCTCAATTTATACTAATGTAGCTCGTTGGTCTGGCCCTTTCCCATGCCTGTGGTGCACACAGTTCCGTACGGTACTTGCTGGACTGGACTAGGACTGACTGGGACTGGGACTGCTGACTCAGCACGGGTAGACTCCACCACTTGCTCACTTGCCTCTGTCTCAAACGTGAGCAGCTTCGAAAGGCCACTTCCGGACCTTCCGGAAGTTCGTGGACTTGGCCTTTCGAGCACTGTAGCAGCTACGACCTTGACCTCTCAGTACTGTAGCAGCTACGATCTTGACCTTTCAGGATCCCTACAGCTATGACCTCTACAGGGATGTGACTCCTACTCGACAGACCTACAGATCGAACCCCTACCACTACACAGACCTACAACAGACAACAACAACTGTCAAAACACAGGTCACAGGTTCAAACACTTGGGGTCGACACATATACTGTACACAGGTAAGGTGAGAACTAGGGATCGAGCCCTGGGATCTGCATTCGCTACTGCTAAAAGGTGAAAACTGTTTCAAAAGGCTTAGGAGTAGTGGTAGGTAGGTGTAGGTAGGTAGGTAGTGAAAGGTGAAATTGAGAGAAGAATATATCCGAGTTTATTAATTAAATGTTGTCAATTAGCCGTCTGTGATTGGCAATAGCGAATGAACGTGAAACGGTTTTCACCTTTTGCAGACACAGATGCGGATCCCAGGGCTCGATCCCCAGACCTCACCTTACCTTACCTTACCTGTGTACAGGATCGAGTTGACCCCTGAGTGTTTGAACCCGGGACCTGTGTTTTGGTAGTTGGCTGTTGTCTGTCGTAGGTCTGTGTAGCTGTAGGGGTTCGATCTGTAGGTCTGTCGGGTAGGGGTCATAGCTGTGTAGAGGCGGTAGCTGTAGCGTTTCTGAAAGGTCAAGGTCGTAGCTGCTACAATCCTGAAAGGTCAAGGTTGTAGCTGCTACAGTCCCGAAAGGCCAAGTCCACAGACTTCCGGAAGGTCCGGAAGTGGCCTTTCGAGAGTTCCCACGTTCAGTCAGAGGCAAGTGGGCAAGTGGGCAAGTGGTGAAGTCCAACTTCGCGTAGTCAGCGGTACCCAGTCCCAGTCTCACTTTGCACAGTCAGCAAGTACCATGAGGGACTGTGTGCACCATGGGCCCGGTGGAAAAGGGCAGACCAACGACTTACAGAAGTATAAATCAAGAGGCAGCGCACAGCCAGTCATTGATTCGCTGCGTAAGCCGTGCGGAAGCACTGCCCCAGCGTCTTGTGCAAGGTGATCTGCAGAGCGCCCGAAGTCGAAGTGGGCTGGAAGGAGATAGATCAGCCATAGTAGCGGCCATAGCCGCCATAGGTTAGAGATAGCTGTTAGTGTGTATGGGTGAGTGATACAGAGTGAGCGTGTTTGGGGTATTCAGGAGATCCAGAGTGGAGTGTGTGGGGACAGTGGTGCTGGACACAGTATCGAGAGTTGGGATGTACAGACGCTAATGCGCCGTAACCTGTTGAAGCGAGTTTGTATATGAACTGTGTTCTCGGGTTTCACATCTTTGAGCTTTGAGTGGGCGCTTGGCGCCAGAGTGGATTGCCATCTGTTTGCATGTATGTGAAGTGGAAAAGAAAGCGAGTCTGATTGCATTGGTATCAGAGCTGGTTCCCGTTACTCCACGCGCCATCGCCGTTGTGACAGTTGGGCGCCATAGCTGAAGCTGCGCCATCGAAGAAGGAGGTCCGCCATTGCTGTGCCACTGAAGTGAGGTGCTGTGTACCTGCCAAGAAGACAACAACGGAGAGAGAGAGAGAGAGAGAGAGAGAGAGAGAGAGAGAGAGAGAGAGAGAGAGAGAGAGAGAGAGAGAGAGANAGAGAGAGAGAGAGAGAGAGAGAGAGAGAGAGAGAGAGAGAGAGAGAGAGAGAGAGAGGAGCAGAGAAGATTGTTGTGCGGTTTTCAAGGAAGAAGGCGGTCATAGCCGCGGAGCTCGGACACAGAGGTAGAAGAAGGAAGAGGAGTGAAGGAGGAGGGAGAGACGAAGGATGAGAAAGAAGCCATAGCCGAGGAAGGAGAAGGGAGAGACGACGGAGGCAAAAGAAAGGCATAGCCGGGGTGAAGGAAGAAGAAAGTGGGAGAGGAGGAAGAAGACAGAAAGAGAAGCGCAGGTTGATGAGGAAGAAGAGGTCGGCAGCCATAGCCGAGATCAGCGTTGAACAAGGAGTTGACCGAGGGTTGATCGAGTGTTGATCAGGGGGTTGACCAAGGGGTTGACCGGGGGTTGACCGAGGGGTTGACCAAGGAGTTGACCAAGGAGTTGACCAGCGTTGACCAAACGTTGACCGAGCCGTTGACCGGAGTTGTTGACCACGACATTGACCAAGCTGGAGTCGGTATATTCTCGCCAAGCCTTCAGCCCATCCCCTCACCCTATGGATGTGCACTCACCCCATGGTACTTGCTGAGTTTGTTTCTCTTCTTTCTGCATTGAGTCTCATTGTCCAGGTGCTAGGAACTCTGTGTATGAGGTCATAGAGCTTTGTTGACCAAACCCGCACGGGTTGAGTAGGGCTAAAGGCCGTGTCTGACGACTGACTGACCCGGAGGACACGGACCCTCCCAAGGACCGGTACAGACCAGCGGGCTGCTCAGTGTGGCAAAGTAGGCCCAAAATCCGAGCTGTGGGCTCCACAACGAGCTGTCTAAGTTAGAGGACTTGCTGATCACGTCGTCCTGATTGTGATGTTAAAGAATTCCTGAGGAGTTATAGGGGATCTCCTTAAATGCCTCCTGATCAGCGCTAAAGTCCTGTATTGACAACTTAGAAATAGGTCAGGCTAGTGACCATAGTTGATAGGGTTTTGAACCAGAGAGAAAGCCAGGTGGGATTGACCGCAGGTGTTGGGCATCTAGGTCTGGATTGTGAAGGACAGTGGTGGCGAAAGCTTCCGTCGGCCGTGGTAACCTGGCTGGATCAAAGGGAAAGCCTCTGTGGTCCTTAGACAGTTAGCCAGTCAGTCAAGTGGGTAGGTCTAAGTGGTGAGGAGTGGGACAGCAATTGTCGTGCACCTGACACCATGGACGACTACCCTATGTACGGTCTGCTCGTGGGGTTCTCCCTCTGGGGGACCCTTTGGCCTCTCCTTTTTCCCCTGGGGTTCTGGAACAGTTTTACGTGCAGACTAGAAACCAGGGGTGGTGTGAGCACCACTCCCTACACCCCAGAACAGGAGGAGGAGGCTGCAAGGATCTTGGCCGAGTAGAAGGCCAAGAAGGAGAAGGAGGTTGTGAAGCAAGGCAAAAAGTTGGCCTTAATACAAGAGCAGGCTGAAGGAGGAAGTTGGAGGAGGAGCTAGAAAGGGTGAAAAAATGAGGAGGAAGAGAAAATGAAAGCAGTGGATACAGAAGAAGAAGAAGAAGAGAAAAGGTGGAATAAGAAGTGCCCCTGATTAGAAGAAGTATCAGGGACAGAGGAGAGACGAGTGGCACAGAGAAAGAGGAGTCCTGATTGGAGAAGAAGGTTTCTGAATGGGTTGCTAATCTGTCTCTGGGAGAAGAGGAGGAGGCGTTGTTGTATGTTCCTAGGGAAGAACATGAGGCGGCTGTTAAGGAATTGGAAGGCGAGGAAGATCCTCTCAAACGGTAGGCGGTAGAGGAGGAGAAAAAGTTGTTATGGAAGCTGCATCTGACCAAGGAGAGGAAGAAAAGGATGGAGGCGGCAAATAAGGGGGCGAAAAAACTGGAGGAGGTGAAACAGCAGAGGGCACAGATGGAGGCACATGTAGATTTGTAAGGAAAGATGGAAGTGATGGCGAGGAATATAGAACACCTGGCGCAGGCTTAGGAGGAGCAATACCAATTTGGGAGGAGTCAGGATATAGCCTTGTGATCGATACGATCGATACGATTGGGGTTCAGAGAGTTTGCACGCGAAATGTTGATGCACGTGGGTTCAGAAGTACAGGCGCGGTTAGAGGGCACATAGCGATTCTGCACAGGCAACATAGAAGGCGCAAAGCTGGTCGCACCAAGAGAGGAGGAAGCTTGTCCCCGTAGATAGCCTGCTAAGGTGAAGTTCCCTGATTCCTACAGTGGGAAGGAGGAGGAGAACTTCGACAATTGGGAGGCAAATGTGAACTCCCACGCGCACCTGCAAAAAAGATATCCCCTGACGAGCATGTCCTCATAGCCTTCCATGCCCTCAAAGACGAAGCAGCAAACTTCGCCAGGTCACTGTGTCGCGCTGTTAATTGCAATAATATGGTTGCCTACTCTACATTCACCCCTCTCAGTGAGTTTCTCAAATTATTGCGCGAAAGGTTTGTAGATGTTACACGAAGCATCAAAGCTCATGATAAATTGCAAACCATTCATTCCCATCAGTTGAGGAGTGTCAGGGCACTCAAGGGCGTCATGGATGAGTTGGTCGCCGTCCCTGATCATGGGCTCACTGAGACCCAGTTAGTCAACCTATTCTATCGTGCCATGCCTGAGCCTTTGTGCGGA